CTTCATTAATCTTTTGAACTCACTTATGCTGCATTTGAGTGAAGCTATCCTTCATATCATACATATGTAAGGAAGGTCATCTAGAGTTCATGTGCTTAAATAAGGTGCTGTGGTACCTCTCCAGATAAACACATGCTCAGATAGAACACTGAACAAGCCTGGAAAGTAGGCGCAATTGCCTCCATTTTACAAAAAAGGATTTTAAAGCCAAGAGACATTAAGTAATTTGTCTAGAGTCACATGACTGCTAGGTAGTTGAGCCAGAATTTGAATTCAGGTTCCTTAACTCCAATGCTTCTTTCTACTGTGTTATTATGCTGGTTATTTTTCTCAGCATACATATATTTGTGTGTATAAATTTTAATTTTATTCATCTTATAAATATTGATTCCTTAGGAAATTACCAAATACTAAAAAAGCCTAATTTGAATCCTTTCTGAAAAGCAAATGCCCTGCATGTCTTTACTCATAATATAAATTTAATATAGGCCATTTATACATTGTAAAATATAGGTGTAGTAATGCATTATATTTTAGTTGGCTGATGCTATTTTCAGGGCTTGATTCTCTCTATAGGCCATTAGAATAGCTTATGATCATAGAGAAAATAAAAAGAACCCCACCAATATAGAAAGCTATTTAAAAATCATTGTTCCTCTTATTGTCTCTAAATCTAATAACTACCACCCAGTGGGGGAAAATGGTTTAACTGGCTAGAATTAGATAGAAATTCTTATTGCTACTTTTCCCCTCTCCTCATTTTAATTCTTGAAATTTAAGGGAGGCAACCGATCTGTTAAGTAAGATTTGAGGTTTTACTCTGAAGTCAATAAATGGTACTGTGGAAGCTTAAAGACTAAAAGACTATTGGGTGGTTTAGTGCCTCATATAAAATATTGTAATACAGTGTTCCCTACTGCTGCTCTGAAGAGAGAAATTTAATGTTACTTATTTATAATCTCTATCACCACCTTGTGGCAGTGTCTTCAACTTATTGGCAAAAATCTTCAAGAATCTTGTGTCAATTGATAATACAATAGGTCACAGCCTATCCTGGGTGCTCCAAAATGAAATTTCTTCAGAAGAGTTATTTCACAAATCTTTGAAAATAAGCTCCAAATGAAATTAAATAAGGCTTCTGGAAAGAAAAGGGAAGATTTGCTTTTGTTTTATGTTCATGAAGCAAAAGAGGTGAAAACCAGATATTCTAAACCTTAGCTTTTTTTTATTACGGTAAACTATATTTAACATAAAACTCATCACCTCACCCATTCTCAGGTGTACAATTTAGTGGCACTAACTACATTCACTATGTTGTGCAGCCATCACCACTATCCATTTCCAAAACTATTCGTCACCCCCCACAAAAAACCCTACCCATTCGCTTCCCTTTTTTATCCCCCTAGCCCCTGATAACCTTTATTAAATTTTCCATGAATTTACCAACTGTTGATACATAATCTATAAAATTATAACATATTTGTCTTGTGTCTAGAATTTTTCACTCTGCATGTTTTTGTGGTTCTTTACATTGTAGCATGTATCAGAATTTCAATCCTTTCTATATTCCCTGATGTATACCACATTTTGTTTATTCATCTGCCCTTTCCCTTCCTTCCTTCCTTTCTTCCTCCCTTCCTTCCTTCCTTTCTTCCTTCCTTTCTTTCTTCCTTTCTTCCTTCTTTCTTTGCAATAGGTTCTTGTTATGTGTTCCTGGGCTTAAATAGCCCTCCTACCTCACTACCTCAGCCTTTTCAATAGCTAGGACTATTGGTGCATGCCACTGCTCCCAATATTGATTCATAGGCATTTGTTGTTTTTACCTTTTGAATATTTTGAAATACTGCTATGAACATTAGTCTATAAGAATCTGAACCTTCATTTTCAACTTTTTTTTTTGCTATCTTCCTAGAAATTGGATTGCTGGTTATTAAGGTTATTCTGTTTAAATTTTTGAGGAACTGCCATACTGTTTCCCACAAGGATGGACCATTTTACATTCCAATCAGCAACGCATACAGTTTTTAATTTCTTCACATTTTCACTAACATTCTTTTCCGTCTTTTTGAGTAGTCATTGTAATGGATATGAAGTATACACATTAGCTTTTGAATTTGGAATTTGCAAATAAATTATATCTGAAGTTAATTCAAGAAATGTTTTTCAGCCCCTGCTATATACCGAGCTGTATTAAACTCTAAGGGAAGTAACAAGGATGAGCAAAATATTTTATTGACTCTCTAGGTGGTTTATAACTTATTTTTCTCCTCAGTATGTGTTTGTGAATGAATAAATCATCATATGATTTTAATTGGGTAGCTTAAAAAATTAATCCAGTGACTTTATGCTAAATTTATAGAAAATGGGTAGTGGAAATTAAAATGTTTATTAAACTTATTTGCTGGGGCTGGGGTTGTAGCTCAGCAGTAGAGCACTCACCTAACACGTGCAAGGTGCTGGATTCTATCCTCAGAACCACACAAAATAAATAAATAAAATAAAAGTATTATGTCCAACTACAACCAAGAAAAAAATTAAAAACTTATTTTCCAAAGATTACATTCAACTATAACTTATGTAATTCTTTGGAAAATTCTCAATAAGGATCCAAATTTATTTTATAGTTTGGATAAGGCCTGATAGCACTATTGTAGTATTAATTCTTCCTTTATGTTTTCAAAATTAAGCTTAGACAGCTTCTCTCTAACTGAACAATCTGAGAAATAGTTTATACTTAACTGTCCTTGATTTTAGTTTTTCATTTATCTTCCAGTTTTACCTTTTGGAAGAGTAAAATAGAAAGTACTATGATAGACAAGATCTCTAATTAATTTTTTTCAACAGGTTTTAATTATTGAAAGAATCCTGAAACATTTTTACAAATGGCTACTGCTCAACTCTCTCATTCCATCAGAATTCACAAGGCATCTAAGGTATTTGTTGGGAGTTAAAAGAAAATCAATGACCATTTATTGTGTCACTTCAGAATCAAGATGTTAATCTTTGCTTTTTATTGAAACAATTTTACCACTTATAATTGTCACATAATATTCTTGGAGAATATGTCTACATTTTAATTGTCTAATGGATTGGGGATATTGGGGAAATTAAAATAGATCACAAAGTTATTGACTGGGTGCTTGTTCATGTTGAAATATTTGTCTTCTAGAGTAAAAGAAATCAGAACTAAAAGACATTTTAAGAGACTGGTTCTTTGTTAAGACATTCATCTCCTGAAGCAATTAGGAAATTTGTGCTGCACATGGTAATGTAATTAGAGGAACTAGAGGGTAAAGCACTGAGAGAAATGCAGATATTAGGAGCCAAGGGGAGTGTGTTGGTCAGCATTCCATTGCTGTGACAAAATACTTGAGATAATCAATTTTAAAAGAGGGAAGAATTTATTATGACTCATGGTTTCAGAGGTTTCAATGCATGGTTGGTTGGCTCCATTGATTCAAGACCTTTGGCAAGGCAGAACATCATGGCTTGAAGCACGTGGTAGAGTAAAGCTGCTCATTTCAGTGGCTGTGAAGCAAGGAAAAAGAGAAAAAAGGGCCAGGATCCCAATATTCCCTTTAAGGGTGTACACCCAATTTCTTGACCTAATTTCTTCCTACTAGGCCCCCCACCTAAAGATTACACCACTTCCAAATGGCACCATAGGCTGGCAACCAAGTCTTTTGCATATGGGACTTTGGGGGAACATTTTAGATCCAAACCATAATAGAATACATGCCAAGACCAGGCAACCTTGCTGGATTAAAACCTTTATTAATACATCATTCATTGAGATTCAATATTATAAAATATATGTAACAGTATTTTATTTTCTAAGAGAACACCAAAATAAAGCAAACAGACAAAACTAAAATTTTATCTTCCAAAAGTTTATGATCTGTTTAGGATAATAAGATTTATAGATGGTAAGTTGATGTACCCATATTTACCTAAGTGTGGAAGAAATATACATCATATATTGATGTGAAATATATAATATATTAGGCATTTATAAAACTACCAATAACAGTCCTGAAGTATTATACCAGCTAAGAAGAGGGGAAAAAACCCCTATCGTAACAAACTGTAGGGGGATTTACCAACCATTGATCTTCATTACTACAAATTATTATTATTATTACTTTTAAATTTCACATTTAGTGTAAAGTATCTTCATAGTTTCAAATTATTCAGTTTTATAAATGTTATTCAAGTATTGCCTCTACATTTTGGATTGTTTTCAATAAGTTAATACATGCATGCTATGCCAGCTACTACCCAATTACTTAAAAGAACCTTAATTCATCAAGATCTATAGATACAAAAAGCATTTTTTTTTCAAAAATTTTACACACAAACACATACCTCAATACATGTTTCATGCAAAATTAATGATGTTATTATATAACTTTTAACAACTGTGTGTACTATGCTTTGACAAAAAGAATGAAATGGTAATTCATTACCACTCTCTGTGTAGTATACCAAACAAGAGGCATTCTTGAGGTGCAGAACTGAGAAAAGGGAAGCAGAAGTGGAGGCAGAGCAGGAGCAGGAGTCCAAACCCAAACCCAAACCCAGGCCTAAGCCACAGCTGGAGCCAGATGCGGGACCCAAGTGCACATGGGTGCAAGCAAGCCATGAGGAGCTGGCTGGGCAAGAAGAAGCAGTGATCCTTCACCCTCATCCCCGATAGCCAGACTTCAGATTGGCCTGCTGGTCAGGGGACCAAGAGCAGATCCCAAGTCAGGCTTCATTCAGCCTTCCACAAGGGCTAGTCCCTTTGGAAGGTGCCTTCAACAGCAGGACCAGGTGGGTCACCATGACTGAGAACTCCATGTCCTACAGCCAAACTCACGTGGGTGAAAGCCTCCAAGAAATCCACAGTCCACCCTGGGTATTCAGAAATGATCATGGCTGCCATCCAGGCTGAGAAGAACAGCACTGGCTCCTTGGGAAAATCCATCTGGAAATATAACAAGAGTCTCTATAAGATGGGTAAGACCACCAACTCCCAGATCTAGTTGTCCATCAAGCATCTGGTGACCACCAGTGTCCTCAATCAAACCAAAAGGGTGGTGTCTCAGGATCCTTCTGTTTGGCCAAGAATGGCAAGCCCAAGAGGTCAGTGGCCTTCAAAAAGATCAAAAAAGAAATCAAGAAGGTGGCTATGCCAAAGAAGTCAAAAAAGAAATCAAGAAGGTGGCTATGCCAA